GATACTGATAAATAAAAACATACATAACCAACATGACACTGATATATTGTGTTAATAATACGAAGGTTTATTTTTTGTTATGGACATTTTTTTAAAATGTAAATATTAGTTGCCATTTGGTAATAGCTTTGGTGCAATTTTTAGATCTAAATTATTAGCTGTCCAGTCACTTCTATATGGTTAGTAAATTGACAGCAACTATATTTCTGTCATATATGTTAAGAAATGATGCAGGATCTTGGTGGTGTTTTATTGCCATTTTGATTATGACTAAGTTACGGTTCGATTGATTAAAGAACATGCATCATAACTGAAAACATGCATCATTGATCATGTTAAGAGGTAATGTAATGTAGAATCAATTAATCAGTGATGCAGGGGGTAAATGAGACACTGGACCAAATAAAACTCAATAATTGTAAAAAAACAAATTGGATTTGTTAGAACAGGAAGTAGATTAATAACCATAACAGAACCACATTCCACATCTCCGGTTTAGCATGCAAACCAGACAGACGGACAGAAGAAGAAATGGACATACGGTAGAAACTGGCCATAACGTAGGTTTGACAGCGATCACCAGTAAAGTCATTTGGACACCTGATGAAAAGAGACAAAACCATAGAGAGAGAGAGAGAGAGAGAGAGAGAGAGGGGGGGGGGGGGTAGGGGAGAGTGTCGAGCAGAGTGAAAAATGCAAGATAAAAAGGAAAGGGTGAAAGCAAGAGAGAGAGAGAGGGGGGAAAAGAAAGCAGAGAGAACATTAGGACAATAGCACAATTATGTACAGCAGAAGCAGAGGATCCCACTGGAGGAACCACTGTGTCTATTTCAGGACAGACTTAAGCCAGCAAGCCTTGGGAGGCGGAAGGAGGTAAAGGAGAGACAACAGTGGTAACCCAGTGACAGCCGGTCCTCTGTTTGCTGCTGTGCATCTCAAGTCAACATACTTTTATTAGGTTTGGGCATGTATAACCGCTTGGGCTCTGTCTGCAAGCACCGCTGGCCGAAGTATCCGTCCGGACATCTGGGGGAAGGAGAGGTGATGAAATACAGATATACACCAAACACACACAGAGGATATTAAACACCAAACACACACAGCGGATATTATACACAAACATCTGATAGTCAGCCGATTATCCAGCCATCACTGGATTAAGAAGAACACTTTCTAAATGAATTTAGTCTTGTTTTCCAAATATCTATTAACCATTCTTAAAGGATTAGTTCATTTTTTTTTTTTTAAAAAACCTTTGCTGATAATTTACTCACCCCCATGTCATCCAAGAGGTCCACGTCTTTCTTTCTTCAGTCGAAAAGAAATTAATTTTTCTCCATATAATGGGCTTCAATGGGAACCAAACGGTTCAAGGTCCAAATGAGAGTTTCAGTGCAGCTTCAAAGGGCTTTAAACGACACCAGACGATGAATAAGGGTCTTACCTAGCGAAACGATCGCTCATTTTTACAAAAAAAAGTAAATAAAGTTTAAGTTTTATAAGCTCAAATGCTCGCCTTGCTCTGTGCTGTGATGAGCGTTCGTGACTCTCCTGTTCAAACTCGTTCATCAAAATGAACAAATCTTTTTTCGAGTCATGACTCGAAGGGTCCTAGATAAGACCCTTATTCTTCGCCTGGTGTCGTTTAAAGTCCTTTGAAGCTGCACTGAAACTCTCATTTGGACCTTGAACCGTTTGGTTCCCATTGAAGTCCATTATATGGAGAAAATCCTGGAATGTTTTCATCCAAAACCTTAATTTTTGACTAAAAAAAAAAAAAAAAACTGAAGAAAGAAAGACGTGGACATCCTGGATGACATGGGGGTGAGTAAATTGTCAGCAAAAGTTTTTTTTTTTTTTTTAAAGTGAACTACTCCTTTAAAATAAGATGATTTTACTGTATAATATTTAGTTTTTCATAGAATATATCTTGAATTTTCACTATCATAATCAAAAAGTCACCTAGGTAGAATGTCTTTGTACAGTCCAATTGTGTAAAAAATGTATAGTTGACACTACTTAAAATTTCCAATTTAATATATTAAAATGTATGATTTACTGAGATGGCAAAAGTGAATTTTCTTTGGAAACCATGATACATTTTTCTTTTCAATAGACAGTTCAAAAGAACAACATTTATTTTTGTAATAATGTAAAAGTCTTTACACTGTAAAAAATGTTTTCATGATTTGTTATCCCAACTTTGTCAAATCAACTTAGATAATTATTGTGGTTCAGATAATGTTGTTAAACCAATCTCCATTGTGTCTCCATTTCAATTAACTCAAAATTAAGGCATACTTTTCTAAGTTAAACCAACCATATTATTTGTACTGCAACTTATAATCAATTTAATGCATCCTTGCAGAATAAAAGTATTAATTTCAGATTTTTTTAAAGTAATGTAATCTGAAAACAAGTTGAAACATTGAAGAAAACATTGAAGTGATAAACAAATATGATTCAACATATTTAACTAATTTGAATTAAAGATACATTCTTTGAAAGCTAATCTCTTTGAAGGCTAATTTCCTTTTTAAATGATTACACAACTTACAATAGTTTGCTTCTCAAGAAATGCATCTCGTTCTCTGGAAAACATTCAGCGAACACCAACATCTTAAGCAGTCCCCGAGCCTATAAGCAGCACATCTCTAATATGGTCGCCTGATTATGACATGGCTCTCATTCATGGATTTGATTGGCCAATTATGCTTATTCATGTCATTCCAGTAAACAGATTACGCCTCATCAGTGTGCAATGAGCGATATGAGGGTAATGTTTTCACAGTGTTAATTCCCCTAACTGATCAAACACTGATGCATGGCCACCGTCAATTTTCAGGACAAACAGAAATCGTGAGCGAGTGTTATTTTCCGTCACCAGCTCATCTTCTGAACGTCGTCTCCCTGCACATCATGTCCCAAAATTATTAGCTTTCCAGTAAAATCTCAGCATCCTCAAAACTACTTGAGAAGCATTAAAGATTTGTTTTCAGAGAATATGACTTTGTACCCTGCTGGCAAATAGTTTTTTATCACAATTGAAAGAGATTTATGCTTAAAGCAGCACTTGGCGGACACGCATACACACAAGGCCCCTGTTAAAGTTAAAAAAGTCCTTTTGAAGTCGGATGTGAGGCATTACGCATGACGCTATACATGCAGCACACACACGAAGCCATTGGTAAGTTTATAGAGTGTAAAATGAGCCAGGGTTCAGGCCGTAATCTCTTCACTGTGCTGCTACAGAACCATGTCACGGCCTGGCACGCGGTAAAACACTGCAGTTTTAACTACGGAGAATAACAGAGAGATGGTGAGAGATCGTAAGATGTTGTAGTCTTTAGGGGAGTGCAGGAGGAAGAGAAGTTGGGGTATGTACCGCAGCGCAGACATGCTTTAAGTAACATGTACGCCGCTGTGGGGGTCAAAGGTCATGGAAACAATGTTATCCTGCCGGAGAGTGCCAGAGAGAGCGACCGACGTGTGTGCACAAGTGTGCCTCTGGGATTTTAACTCCTCAACTTCATTCATTCCTTTCTCCATATGAAGAACAGATTCTATTACGTCCGTCTATGTTCATTGTTTGCATAAAGCGTACAGACTCAGACTGGTCAAGGTGGTGATACTTTCAGGTTTCAAGTCTTCAGAAAAACCTAGTGATAAATTATAAATTGTTTCTTTACGAAACCAAATGAAATAAATTAGATCAACTTTCATTCGTGTTAGATAAGCGGATAAACTTTCTCACAATTTTTTTTTAAGACAAAAAATGAAGGTGTCATGAAGGTGTCATGTCAGTCTTATGCACACCCCTTCAAGTAAAGTGTTACCAAAAAAGCATCTCATGATACGTATTCATCATTTTTATTAATAATATTATATATTCAAAATTTGAAAACTATTGCAAGATGCATTGATTATTACTCAACACTTATTATTATAATTTTTTATTTGTTAATAGTAATGTATTTACTATTTTTTTGGAATCTTGTTTCCGCGACAATAGGATAATTGCGACTTTTTATCTCACAATTCTGACTTTTTTCTTGCAATTGCGAGTGTGTGATATAAACTTGCAATTACCAGAAAAAAGTTAGATATATGGGATATAAACTCACAAATATTTATATTACGTCAGTCTTGCAATTGTGAGTTTATATCACGCAATTCTGAGAAAATGTAAACTTGCAATTGAGAGAAAAAAAATATAGAACTGTGAGATAAAAAATAAAAATAACCTTTATTTTTTTGTGGCGGAAATTTTTATAATAATAATAATAAAGATGATAAAATAGTGGTAGGTGTATCCGAACTAATGATTGTTCCAGCAAGAAACACCTGCTCTATTCTCCCTGACGCTTTATTTTTTGTAGATCGTTGCATCATTCTTTTTTTACTTTATATTCTGTCTCTTTACTCTAGTTTTTTCCCCTACTTAACCTCCGCCTCAACCCCGAGTGCCCCCGCCTCAGTTTTGTATAAGCATTTTTCATTCCCTCTCTCCCTGGCAGTGGGAGCCGAAAGACTCCCGTTTAGTTAAAATCTACAAAGGCGGTGAGAGAGAAATAGAAAGAGTTTTTTTTTTGCTAGAAATGGGCTGTAGAAGTAAACCTGAAGAAGATAAACATTGTGATATTCCAAACAAGCCTAGACGTCAGGGACACAGATACCAGTTCCAAGAATCCAGCTGGCCAAATATATTCATATATATTCATATATATATATATAATAAATAAAGCACAACGCAGCACATGTAAGTTTCAACATGGCAAAGAGCCACATAGTGCACAACCGTCCAGTTATTTCATCCATTTAAAAAACAGCCATGCACTTATATTATGAGTATTATTTAGTATTTTTTTAGCTAAATTTCATAAAACAAGCTGATTTACTTGATAAGCAAAATTATGTAAGATAATAATGAAATATATCTTGAATATGGTTTATTTATGGTCCAGTACTTGATTTAACCACAACATTTAAGGAGATGAGGTTTGTGTAAGAAAACAAATCCTAATGGTTTGAGAAAAATAAACATAATTCAAGATAAATTATTTTATCACACATATTCATTGTTAAGTAGCATTTCAACATTGATAATAATAATAATAATAATAAGCAAATCAGCATTAGAATTAGAATTTTTGGTGCTCTCGGTCCACTTGTTTGGTGCGCAACAGTTTTCAGATGGCGGAGTTCACGCTTATTCAAATGAACCACACTAACAGAGCAATCAGACCAGTTCGTTTTAATCCAACCAAACCTGACAAGTGTGAACACACCCTAAATAAACAACCCATATCCAAATTTGCAGTGGAATACACTGTAATAGAGAGCAAAGCAGACTAAAAATAGTTCCCTCAGTCTTCTAGTTATCACATTATCTAATCCTGTTTTAAACACACATCAGTCTCTAACCAGCACCACTGGCAAATTAAACATAAATATCAATCAAATCATCTAAAGCTAAAATGCAATTGTACTTACATAGAATATTAATTTACTGAATCTCTATGTTTTATCATTCTGCTAATCAGAACTGTTCAGTCAAATAGCTGTAGGCTGTAGCTGAAGTTTCACTTAATGCTGCCTTCTTCATGAGAGAAAAAAACAAAAACAAGGACGCATTATTCTGTGTCCTGTTGCCTTCGATCAGGTCACTGTAACTCTGTAAAATGATAGGACCAGCAGTGCCTAAAGGAGTCCGTTCTGACCCAGAAGGCTTTGCATCATTTCTATCCTGCCGGCGAATTTGTCAGAATTAATCAAATAATGTCGAATTTTTCCTGCACACACGTCATACCTAAACGACATTCTCATGGAAACAAAGCCTGGTCTCTTGATCTTCATTGTGTTACATAATGAAGGATGCAGCATCTGGTCTGAAGAAAAGAACTGCCGTTATTAAAAAAAAAACACTTTCGATGCAGCTGTTTTCATGCACTAATATTTGGAAAGTTTTATGGCGCTTTCCACGAACTGAGTACACAAAAGTGCCTGAAGCTCTTAAAAATTGAAGTTTGTGTTTTTTTCAACAAATGGTCTGTGAAAGGAGGCACTTAACTTGTTGATCGTCAACCTCAGGAGGTCAAACTAAATATTTTATAAGTGGTTTTATTTTCTGTTCAAGGTTTTAGCGATTTAACACAATTTGGGACATGAAAAATACAGGTTAAAACCCCGAAAAAACATTAAATACAAGTGATATATCCTAAATTAAGTTGTTCTGCAGAACAGGCTAACCAGTTTGGAGTAAATGCACTTCTATTTTTTCTTACAGTAACTTGTCGAATTGAAGGTTGGCCTAAATGGGTGCTGAAAACCAAATCTTTTTGTTACGATTCAGAATATAATTAGATTATTTACTTGTCTAATCAATGTGCTGTACACAAATAATGTTCTTCTTGAGTTTAAGGAATGTTATAAAATATTGTAAGGATTTATTATTATTTTTTTTCTGTTATGTTTTTCCCCCCCCACTGTTCTAGGATTTTAATTGCTGGATACAGTCGGGACGATCAAGACATCAGAAGTGGGACAGGCCAAAATAATCATTTTAAGAAGACACTTTCACAAAACAGCAGAATACGGTTGACAGCCGTATGCGATTTGTCAACACATTCTCATCCTAGGGCGTCTTTTGACAATCCGACACACATGGCACCCTTTAGCGTTAATATAACACGCTTCGGTTATGGGTAGGTTTAGGTCTGGGGTAGTGTTAGGGTTAGACCACTAGGAGGCGCCTTCTGGCCCATATCTATCTGTGCGTCATATTGACGCTAAAGGGTGCCATGTGCGTCGGATGTTGACGCATTGTCAAAAGCGTCAGTTAGATGACGCCTTGGGATGAGACCGGGCTGGATTTGTGATTTGAGATTTGTTTACGTTCACACATAGTTCAGTCACTTAGACCCCATTTACACCTGCTATTAAAATGCGATCTGTATCCAGATAAGTTATCCGGATAATAAGTACTGATTCCATTTACACCTGGCCACATAAATGTGTTTTTGCAAAACGGATATAAATCCGATCTTAAACTCCCGCGTTATATGCAGATTTAATGGATTGCACGCCACCAAAAGCAACAGATATGAGCTGCATTTCGTTGATCATCAGCTAATTTCCAAATCAAAGACATCAATAAGAGAGTGGCAACAGCGCTGGTAAGATAATTTCGTTTCTTTACTTGAAGATGAAGCGTCTGTGACTTACTTTCACTTTTATTTGCGATGTTTGCACGTTGGCTCGATGAATAGACGCTCAGCTGCTCATCTGCGGTGATGCGCGTCACAGTAGCGCCGTCATATCTGACTAGAACATGACATATCGCCTATATAACAAGCTCTCACTCGTTTATTTTTTTGCATTTTTGCGAGGAGTAAAATATACATGTGTGGTTTCAACAACCAGATTGCGTTTACACCTAGTAAAGATCCGGACACAATGCGAGCCAGACTACCTCCAGATGTGGTCAGGCAGATCCGATCACAACGCATTTACACCTTGCATTAACATGCGTTTTTTATTATCCGGATAACTTATCTGGATACAGATCGCATTTTAATACCAGGTGTAAATGGGGTCTTACATGAGTGACAACCATATTCTATAACCGAACTCACTCACAAACAAAGTGTACCGTGTTCATGAGAAGTGAATAATATAGTTAAAGTTAAAACTCAATAACCTACAGTCTTCAGATCAGAACCTGTCCCTGATGCAGAGCCGAATACTACTTGCCCCCCCCCCCCCCCCCCCTCAGTGGCGGGCCATGAATCTCCTCTGGCATTTCTCAGTTTTGTCATCTGTCCCAGTCTTATGTATACATGACAGGGGTGTCGATGTGGAGCTGCCGTAACTTGGCAGGGCTATGAAATACACGCCCCCCCCCCCCCCCCATCCCCCCATCCCCCCCCCATCCTCCATCAATCCAGCAAGAAAATGATTTTAGCCCAGGTCATTTATTACTTCTTCCTTCACACTTATGTGTGTGTGGAACTTTGTATTCCAATGAAAAGGAGGCAGCCATAAATATGAGGCAGCTTGTATGGCCAGACTTGTTCAGCCGGTGAGTAATTCCTATGGAAGCCTGGCCTATATTGAATGAGATAGCTTTGGGGCAACAATTCCCAGCGGGCCTCGACTGCATTATCCGACTTTTCTGGACCTGTGCCTCACCCATGAGTGAATTAGCTGCAGCAATTGAGTTATTGCTCCTTCCAATTTGTACACAACGTATTGAATGGCTGTTGCAGCCGTGTCCCGGCAGTTTGCTTGCCAAGCAGTATTCCGGGGACGCACACGCGCACGCACGTATGGCGTGCATCTGGGCTGAAAACACCAGCAGGTGCACTCATAACATGGCGCTACATGCGGTCTGAAATTGATTTTAAAAGAAGAAGAAGAGAAACAGCACTTTACATTCCCTGCTATAAGAGCTGAACACAAACTAATGTGTCCCCGCATCGTTGTTTGTTATCTCACCCTTCGCAGCTACCTATAATCGCCCTGGTCTCTTGTTTTGATAATGCTGGCGAAAATATTTTTTTCAGCCCATAAGCACCCCCGTTTTAAATGCATCTGTGTAAATCGGTGTCCTTTTCCCCTGTGATTGAAATGTAAGCAAACTGACTTATTTACCTAGTGGGAGGCCTCTGGCTCTTGTAAATATTTGTTCTAGCTCTAAACCAGCATGACATGGCATTTCACAATGGTTTGATGCACACCGCTCCAGCACGCTAAACGTGGGTCAGCGGAGGGGGGCGGGGGGGGGGGGGGGAGGTCTGTTTTTTTTAAATCCCCAAGTACATCAGTCATATCGCACTCATCAACATCTGCACCAGTGAGTCAACACACAGTACCCTGACACAAGAGGGACATGACCAAAGACAGATGCGATAGATGGAGAGAATGAGAGAGAGTTTAAGAAGAAAAGGATGGGCAGGTTGATGGATACCATTTGGCCATTGCTGGAATAAGACTTGACTTAGCGTGCGGTTCCTCTCAGTTATGAGGAAACATTTATGATGAACCTAAAGCGCCAACAGTTTAAGAAGAACCCATATTCATTAAAGGAGTAGTTCACTTTTGAATAAAACTTTTGCTGATAATTTACTCGCCCCCATGTCATCCAAGATGTCCGTGTCTTTCTTTCTTCAGTCGAAAAGAAATTAAGGTTTTTGATGAAAACATTCCAGGATTTTTCTCCATATAATGGACTTCAATGGGAACCAAACGGTTCCAGGTCCAAAAGACAGTTTCAGTGCAAAATGCAAACCGTTCAAAGGGCTTTAAACGATTCCAGACGAGGAATAAGGGTCTTATCAAGCGAAACGATCGCTCATTTAATAAATAAATAACAAAGTTTAAGTTTTATAAGCTCAAATGCTGTGAGTCTCCTGTTCGAACTCGTTCATCAAAATGAACGAATCTATTTCCGAGTCATTTGGTTCATTCAACAAAGGAAAAAGATTTGTTCATTTTGATGAACGAGTTTGAACAGGAGAGTCACAAACGTGCATTGCAGTACAGAGCAAGTTATAAAACTTAAACTTTGTTATTTATTTATTAAATGACCCTTATTCATCGTCTGAAATCGTTTAAAGCCCTTTGAACAGTTTGCACTGAAACTGTCTTTTGGACATTGAACCGTTTGGTTACCACTGAAGTGCATTATATGGAGAAAAAAGCTGGAATGTTTTCATCAAAAACCTTAATTTCTTTCCGACTGAAGACAGAAAGATACGGACCTCTTGGATGACATGGGGGTGAGTAAATTATCAGCAAAAGTTCTTTTAAAAGTGAACTACTTTAAGAGCAAAATTAATACATGTGGAAACAGAGTAAAGGAAATGGAGAGAAACTCACTTGCAGGAAAACTGATTTATACCATGTATGTAGTAACAGTCACCGCCATTCACACAGTATGCCTTCTCTGTGTCGTTGCATTTTCTGGCGTGGCCCGAACCGGGAGATAACGTTGTGGTTACTGCAAGAAACAAAGACAAACATCTTAAGACATCAACAAGGCATGCCAACCAAAACACAATAGACAGAGCTTTCAGTGAGTGCCTAGTAAACAATAAAGAGAACAACCATGTGCTTGTGCAAGAACCAAAATACACGCATGCCATCTTGTCAGATAGCATTCATTACAAGTTAGTGATCATTTATCACACTTCAGTTCATGTCCCATTCCCTACAATAACAGTCATTCACTATAACAATGACTGTTTGGTTTCCTTCGCAAATCTATCTGTACATCTTTGCTGCTAAAGTTCGAGACGGGCGAAGATAAGTATTTCAGTAGGCGCTCCGGCTGATTCACAGGTCTGGAATGGATCCGCATTATTATCGGAGCAACAATATTGCACCTCATGGGTAAGAAAACATGAGAGGCCTTTGGAAAACTGCAGTATATGTGGCGAAATCACTTTACGCCCAGTTTGACAGCAGTTTGTTTACCTTTGGTACCAGTTCAATGGGTGAACATTGGGATGCAAGAACATGTTTATTGAAAATGTAATCAAAAGCAGAAAACGTGAAGAGTGACTGGGCAAAGTGCTTCCCGCAGCCACATTAGACACATACCTTCGTCGTTTCTCACCGCTGCTAAACTGAACATGTCTACAAACACTCATGTCATCACCACCCAACTGATGCCTTTTCAAACACGCAATGGCTTTTTGTTTAGCACAGCGCTGTGGAGCATCTTTGTCAAGCTGAAACGGCATTCAAAGCAAATGTTTTGAAGGAACATGCTTATTTAATCTTGCTAATCACAACGAAAAAGACAAATGTCTCTCTTGAAACGGTTTTTACAGCATCACTTGACCACATCAAGCCCGCTGTTATTTATGTAATTAAAGAAATATTGTGATTTTCAAACTAATGTTAGTTTTGCTGGTTAGCGTGACTCATTTTGCCCCTGCTGGTAGATAACGTTACTGCACCATTTGGGAGCTAAAAAGCATGCAACATATTCATAAAAAGGGTTATTTTATATAAAGGGTCAATTTATAAATGATTACTTAAAAAAACATGTTAATTGAAGAAGAGGTGTAGTCAAAGGATTGTATGTAGTTTTGCAAGCAACATTTTAATATAAAGGGTCAAAAAAGGTCAATTTATGCCCCCCCAAAATAATATATAATAATTTGTTAATTTGAAAATTAAAATCATGTTCATTACAAAAGAGGTTTTAATTTAATGCATGTATTTTTTATACTTTTTGCAAGAAACCTTTTAATATAAAGGGTAAATTAATGATGAAATATGTTTGTTTTTTTGCAAGTTAAAAAAAAGTTACCATTATGCTCCCACAAATAATATATATAAAATACATTTTAATTTAGAATTACAGAAGACATGTATCCAAGTCATTGTATGTGAATTGCAGTTTCGCATCTCACAGATAAATAGATTTAGACAAAAAAATTATATTTTCTATAAAAATGTATTTCCAATACATGTATATTTTATTTCTAAATGCGTTTCCGATTCATTTATACACTGAGTTGAAATTATGGTCTGAGGTTACTGACAGCATGTGGTAGCTTCATCAAAATAAGGTTGAAAGCAACCAGGCATATTCGTTGAACTCAAGCCTTGTTGCATGTTCGAGACGCTCCAACCACACATTTATTTCTCAAACAGATTACACAAACATTGACTCATGAACATGTCAGGCAGTACGGTGAATCAATTGGCTAAGCATGAGGGTGGGACCTAACATTATTGGAATGAGTCATGGCTTTGCATGTTCTCCTGCATGATCTGAGACCTCCCATTTAATGCTTCAATGGAAGAATCACATGAAGGAAGTTCATATGATCGCAAATTTATTTTTGATTATTTGATTAGTGACCTAGAAGCAGTGAACAATCGTATACATTTCTTATACATTTTTTATTATAATAAAAATAATAAAATTTGTTTAAAATTTTTCTAAATTCCTTTTTTTAGGTTTGGATTAAAGCTGCAGTCTGTAACTTTTTGGGGTTAAAAATGATCCAAAATACATATTTGGAAAATACAGAACCAGCCAGTGTTCAAAAGCTCAATTCAAAGCGGTGCGCTTATAATAATGTTTTTAATTCCAGTGGAACTGGTGTTTTTCCGCGGGAGATTCGAACATGTCTTTGCGTCATTACGTCACACGGTCGAACGGATTGATTTGAGACAGAAGAAAACATTAAACAATTTGATATCTTTTTGTAAATCTGTACTACCCCTGGCAAAATGTGAAATCTGTACTACCCCGCAATATTGGAAACTGCACAATGTATTTTTTTTTATAATGGAGAGGAATGTTCATGTAAACTATGCAATTGTTGAAAAAAAAAAAAGGCAGAAGAAAACATATTAGGAGATTAAAAAAAAAAAAAAAACACTGGATAGATTTTTATCATTATATGATGGTTGTGTACAGGCACTGCCAACACACATTTCAGTACAATCAACTTATAAAAGTGCATGTATATTATATGACCCCTTTAGGATTGTGAATGCCATATTTACAATTCAGTGTCAGACACCGTATAAGAGATAATGCATGTTGTATGATGTTCAATAATACATAAGGCAACACTCACAATGATGCAGTACAACAATTATGATAAGATCTGAAAACACTGAATTAAGGACTGACAATTCTTAAAGTGCCCCATTATAGTTTGTCAAACACATTCCCTTTCATGCAGTGTGTAATACAGCTGTTTGTAAATGTAAATGTCCTGCAAAGTTGTAAAGTGCACAATAAATAAAGTTATCAATGTTGTTGTTTTGTGGATTTTTTTTATTTGAAATATTTGTTTCTAACAATATAAAAGTCATCACTGTAATTTTTGATCAATTTAATGCAGCAATTTCTTTACAAAAACGTAAACTTTTAAACGGTAGTGTAAGATTTCTTGGATGTTGAATTCAGACATGATTGAAGACTGTCTTGTTCCGAATGAAAAGAAAAGTGTGATAAAGTCAAAAATTTGAAGTCAATTGTCTTCGGTATAGCCTAAGGCCTGAGACGAAATAGGTCAGGAATTCAGCACAGAACAAAATGAGCCATCTTGTTCTCCTCTTTCTCTCTGCGAATGAAATAATCCACCGGATTTTCAACCATGAGCAGTTAGGACTACGACACCCCCACCCTACTCCCCCCCTACACACACACACACGTGTAACACCCGGCTGTAGTCAGGCCAAGAAAAGTGAAACGTTAGCAGATGTGGAAATACACTTTATGCGTATCGGAGCCCATCCTGATGTCAAACATGATCTAGAGGTCCTAATGTTACCACATCAAATCACATAAGTGAAATCAGAGCACCCTTGTGGTTTGGATTTGAGGGGCAGAGAGTTTCAGAACTTTCTTGTTTACTTTCATGTTCACGAAACTGCATGTCTCGTCTAGTTGTATTTGTGTATACGTAATAATCACATTGTGTGGCTGTGGAACCCTAGACAGCTTACAGAACATCTTGTGCGAGTTTGTCGAAACAATTAAAACAGACGGTGTGGAAAATCAGTGTGTTTTCACACTAGGTGCTTTTCAGGGAACTAACCGCAGTTTGTGTGAATTTTTTGGCCCATATGTGAACACTCCAAGCGGACTGACCCCTTTAAAGGTAACCGAACCGAGACCTGTCTAAATATGGCTTTCAGCTAATGGTATGGTGAACACAAATCAGTCCAGGCTTACTTGATTTTTCTATTCACTATTGTTTGGTCATCAGATGCCTCCGTACCAGCCCATTCTCACCCCCAAGGCGTCACTTAACTGACGCCTTGGGAAGCATTTGGACATGCTTCAATATCTGACGCTTTAGGCGCCCTTTAGCATCAGTTAGATGACGCCCTAGGATCGCGTGTACCCTACCCCCACCCCACACCTAAACCTAACCGCGTCCTCTAAATGACGCTTTCCTTTAGCGTCAGTTAGATGACGCCGTAGGATCGCGTCATGTAAATGACGCTAAAGGGCGCCTAAAACGTCAAATATTGAAGCATGGTCAAAGGTGACGCCTTGGGGTGAGAATGCGTTGTCCGTACAAATCGGCAGTTCATCATGGCTGCTGCTTCTGGCAGATCTCTACAAGTTATACATGGAAAGGGGGAATCTCCTCAACCACCACCAATGTGCAGCATCCACCTGGATGATGCAACGCCAGCCATATTGCGCCAGAACGCCAACCACACACCAACTAGCATCACTAAAGAGAATTGTAAGAATATTGACTGTTTTCAAACAAGCATTTGCCATTGGTCAGCCAAAGAGATAGTCCCGCCCCCAAACACAGCCCATTGGTCAAGTTTTTTTTTCTTTCTATTTGGATATGGCCACACATCTGAACACCAAGGCTCCAAGAAAACTCATCTTGCAACATTTTTAAATGTTTACATTTCGAAATTCACTCAGCTGTGTGACATTCAAGAGGGAGACAGAAAACAACAGCAATTTACAAGTGTAATAACACTCCTTTCAACAACATGCATACGGGTTGGCCATGATCCAGCTGGTTGCTGGGAGGCACATGTTCCCTGCCACCCATGTCCGCCGAGAGTTTTAGCATATCTCAGTGCCTATTTACCCCACTAGAGGACTAATGGCACAGCACACTTAACAAGACTCAGCCTCCCTGGATGGAAAGATGGAGTGAGAGCAGCCCTTAGAGCCTCGTAAAGACCACATCCAGAGCCTCAAACATTCAGGTCGGCCTTTAAAACATCTGCACACTCTCCCAGAGCTTTAGGAACGGGCATGTTTGTATTCTTTAAAGTGAACGCGTGGACTCCGAAGCTGGCTATATTAAAACGATATTGACTTTCGACTATTTAACGCAAATGCACGTAAGCATTCTGGTGCATGCAAAAATTCTGAAATTGGACAGCTGTATGCTATGCATTTCAATTTTCTTCCTTGTTTTATGCATTATACAAATTTGGACTTTTCAGAACAGAAAGTTTCAAAGTACTCTCGGACAATTGGAC